AAAAAAAAAAAAAAAAAGAATCTCTTGAGAAAAATAATCAGTAATTTCAGCTGTGTTATTGCCACTCTTTATGTAAATCAATTTTGCTACTTCATTTAAATACCATTTCATTGAACTATTTAAGGTACTATAGACAATGAAGATGATTAAACCTAGTATTTCTCACTTTTCCAATCTAAAAATGTAGTTCATATATAATCGATTGCCTCATGCACATTGCCTGAAAAAATAACTTCACTGCATTATATTTAGAAAAGTAGTAGTCATATTCAGTAGTGTTATAGATATGAATGAACTACCTGGGGCTGGACTTAGGAATGGGGATTTATATTTGATTAAATAAGGAATTAGTGTCAGAAGTTGTGGATAGTAATATTTGGGTAACTATTTGCACAAGCTATGCCTGCTACCCATTTCTGTTGAGTCAATTCCAATCATGGTGGATTGATGTGTTACAGAGTGGAATTGAGATCCACAGGGTTTCTCGACTGTAATCTTTATGGGAAGGAGCCCTGGTGGCCAGTAGTTAAGCACTCAGTTGCTAAGCAAAAGGTTGCCAGTTCTAACCTACCAGCTATTCTGTGGGAGAAAGATGTGACAGTCTGCTTCCATAAAGATTTATAGCCTTGAAAACCTTATGGGACAGTTCTACTCCATCCTGTAGTGTTGCTATGAGTCAGAATCAACTTGACAGAAATGGGTTTTGGATTTTTCAGGGGCTCTGTGCAAGAAAAGACTCAAAGCCTTTTCAGTGATTTAAAAGCTACAAGTGCAGCAAGTGAAGGAGATTATGATGAAGAATTTGTTGTGAATAGGATTTGCTTCAATCATTTCAAAGAGAAGGCAAATTTCCTAACATTAAAGGACAAGTATGAGTTGTCTGTAAATTGGATGTTCATAACCCAGGGACTGTCTGTAGTTAAGTACAAGTTGTTTGTGCCACTCAGGGACCTAATTTTAAGAATTATATTTCCTCTTTGTATCCTTGACTTAATATATAGTGCCTAAGGCATTTGACTGCTAATCTGAAGGCTGGCGGTTCAAACCCACCAGGCACTCCTTGGAAGGAAGACTGTGTAATCTATCTCTGTAGGGATACCACCTCAGAAACCCAAGGAGGGGTCACTATGAGTTGGAATCAACTTGACGGCAGTGAGGGTTTTTACTTTATTTTTTTAATTGTAGAATATAAAATTGATGGTTATTTTGTACCCTATAATGTTCTATTTCTTTACTATAAATACTAGACAATTCTCAGTGAAGATTTAAGTTCCAGTGCTTAACATCTATATGACCTTGGACAAGTTACTTCATCTCTGTAAATATTGGTTTTCTTATGTGTAAAATGAAGGTAATAATAGTACTGGCATAGTGCTGAAGGCATTTGACTGCTAACCAGAAAGGGGGTGGTTCAAATCCACCAGCCACTCCTCAGAAGGAAGATGGGGCAATCTACTTCCGTAGTGATACTGCCTCAGAATCCAAGGAGGGATCACTGTGAGTTGCAGTGAGGCCTCTCCTTCAGAAGAATAACATAGGTGTTAAATATAAAATGTCCATATGTCTATATGCAAAATCCATCTGTTGTCAGACAATATTCTGAGGAGGGACTACAGAACAATTTCAATTAGCAGAGTTAGAAACTGATGTGAGCAGAGAGATCACAATGAAGTGCGCAGAGAGACAGGGAGATGCAGCAACAGGGTCACAGGCGGGATTTTACTGAATAGTTTCCATGGAAATCAGCTAAGGTATTGGTCAAGGTTATAGCTAAGCAAGACCTCAGAGAGCCAGACACACAAACAACGTGATGTAAGAAGATACATTTCAGACCCAAGATTAATAAAATAATTTTTAGTTACAGAAGAAGGTTAAAATCAGCTGAAAAAATTCCCTTAACCACATTGGTTGTCAGCAACTCCTTAGTGAAGAAAAACTGGAGATGAGATCAGAGCTACCGCACACTCTTTATACCACTTCCAACTGCTACTTGTAAGGTGATACATACAAGAATCAGAACACAGAGAGGCATACACTTCCCAAACCTCATGAGAGGAAAGAAGTCTGTGTCCTTCAGAAATCTGAGAAAACTGTGAAAAATTTGAAATTAGCTACAGAAATTTCAATTTTGAAGCATAAATAATGATGCTATTTATTCTTAATCCATGAATATAAAAATAAATATAAAAGAATCAAATATGCATTAGGTATTGGACAAGAATTGCCAGGTATGAAATGAGAGAGAAGCAAACATACTCACACAAGCATTCTCTGACTTCTGGATTTCATTGACTATTAAAGGCCAGCAAATTCCTCCTCTCCCCTAGTCTTCAAATAGTGATAGAAGGTTGCCAGATTCTTATTTTACCAAGCAATGACATTGAAAAACAATCACAAAACATCATTTACTACTCTGATCATTTCATGAAAGAATGCATGAAAGAACAAACTGATCCCAAAAACACAGGACAGACATGACCTCAGGGAGAAAATGGTTTATGAAAAAACTCACTATTCTGTCCCTATTTTCCTCAATTTAGTGCTGATACACAACAAACTCTTCATGGAACAGAGTTCGTTCGTGGACCAAGACGTCAGAGCCACTGCTCCAATGCATTCTGGTGGCCCAGGATCTTGGATAATGGTAGTACACCAACAACTGAAACATTTTAATTATATTACTCCTATGAAAATGTAGATGAGGTTCTTTTTACAAAATGTGGGACAAGGTGGCCTCAATAAATCCACTATCAATTTTTAACAAATCTTAATATTTTCAAATATGCATATATATATGTTAATATATATAAATACATTTTTGGCCTGGAATAAAACTCACTCCCAGGGGCTGACTCTCAGCCTAATAGTAAACAAGGTGTACATGCAGGCCACTCAACCCAGGGTGACACACCCACGGACTCTATGGAGATGCATCCCTTGGAGCAATCAACCACGGGGTATCAGAGGGGCAACATTCACACGGAGGAAATGCAGGCCACACAGGAGTGCATAACTATGAGGGGCACCGGGGGCAGGGGAGGTAGAGGTGGAGACTGGGTTAGGGTTGGAGATAGTAAATGGGGAGTAAATTAAATGTACATGAAATGTTGAATGTAAAACAAACTCTGTTCTAAAAACTTGCATCTAAAGCACAATTAAAAAGAAAACCACATTCACTCAGTCCTCACTCACAAAACAACTTCCTAAGGCAGACTCGACATCACACAACAAGTGAGACACTTATAATCAACCCCTGAAAGAAATGACATTAGATAAGTGATATTCTTTAACTTAGATATAGATATCTATATCTATTGTTGTTGTTGTTATGTGCTGTTGAGTCAGACCTGACTCATAGCGACCCCTCCTTGGGTTTCTGAGGCAGCATCGCTACAGAAGTAGATTGCCCCATCTTCCTTCTGAGGAGTGGCTGGTGAGTTTGAACCACCAGCCTTCTAGTTAGCAGTCAAGTGCCCTAGGCACTATGCTACTATCTCTCTCTATATATATGTCTCAATATTGACCTTACCTGGCTATTAGAGTTAAGATTCAGACATACTACAAATAATGTAACCAAACCCTTTACTTAATATATTTTTTTATATCATTATAACAATCAACTGTGATTTTTGTTATCATCATTCTCCTTTCTAGACACTAAACCCCTTGAAGGAATGCACTAGTTTCCCTTACCTTGGTACCCTTACAACTATAGCAACATTTGACATACTGTGAGTCCTATAAATATTTGTTGATAATTGAGTGAAATTGTGGGGCCTGTGTTATATCTCCTAAAATAAAATTATATATACAAATTCCTGCTACTAATTTATGGTTTATTGATGGAAATAATATTTGAATCTGTCTTTCAACATTCATTTATTCGTTCTTCAGACATATGTGAAACGCTGACTGGCAGTGCTATGCTAATTGCTGAAGATAGTAGAAATGAGCAGGAGGTGGTCCCTGCCCTGGAGGATGTCAAGAAGAGTTCTGTTCTAGAGCTCACATGATCCTTTTAGCAGTATCTTACAGAAGTATATGTAATTTCTTACATGATATAAATATCATTAGTCCAATCATTGTAAATCTCAACAGAGTAAACATTGATATGTTTTCCCTAGTGAGCATAGAACATCATGAGTAGCAATACCAACTATATTTATGTGATATTCGTCCTCTCTAACCGATTACAGCCACTATACCCATTACCGTACAGTTTGCTTAAATTGGAGCCATAGCCTTATCCACTTTAAATGATAAAAATAAATCTACTTACTATTGCAAGTCTTGTTGTATTTGCTGTTCTCCTGTGCAAACCCTTCCAACCGGCACTGGAAACGATGCTGCCAAAATTCTTGAAACCAAGGATTTCGGAGGTTTGTTTCTGGCCGAAGCTTCAGATAGTAATCATCAAACCACTTGACATCAGGTGATTGGAGCTTGATTGTGATTCCACCCACAGCTTCTCGCTGATACCCATCTGTCACATCATACCTGTCAGCCCAGCCATCACTGTGGGGAAACAAAACATCCCTCAGCTCATACCTGATTTTTTCTAAGCAAATGAAGTAATTTGCTTTCCTTTTGAGAAGACGAGTGATTAAATGGTTACTTCTATAGTTAGACATTCTACCTATGTGATAATTGAGATAGCAACTTGTTATAATAAAAAGTGCAATAACACACACTTTGACTCTAAGAGTACTAGAAGGCACTGCCCTCACATATCCTGCATTGCAAGGAATAAACTAGTGATTTGGGTGTAACTTTACTGGAGGCAAAACACATTATATGCATAACTGCAGAATACCACCATTCTCACTATTTACTGATACTTTTACACCTATGACAATTTGACTTTATACACTTTTCCTCTACTTTATATTAACCATTATAATGATCATAAAAATAAGATGACCTAGCATTAATTTAACCAGACTAAAACATAATATTTACTATTATTTGTATTTTACAAGGAAATTATAAAAAGGTTAAAAAAATTCTATACAAACTACAGAAGATTGTTATTCTATTAAATGTTAATTTTCAGTGTCTCAAACCAAGATTTTTGTAGACTGTAGTTCATATTTTCTTTCCTATCACATGATACTTTTCAAATAAATTTAAAATATGCAATGTGAAATCACATTTTGCATTAGAGTGGTTGAAAGAACTGATTAAAATGAACAACAGCATATCAGACAAGGAGCTAATCTCTAAAACCTATAGAAAACTTTAACATTTCAACACAGAGACAAATAATCCAATTGTTAAATGGGCAGAGGACATGAACAGAAACTTCACCAAATAAAATATTCAGGCAGCCAATAAATATAGGATGAAATGTTTACGATTATCAGCCATTCCAAACCAAACCAAACTCACTGCCATTGAGTTGATTCTGACTCATAGTGACCCCATTGGGTTTCCAAGGCTGTGAATCTTTACAGAAAAACACTGTCTCATCTTTCTTCCACAGAGCATTTGGTGGGTTTGAACCAATGACCTTTTGATTTGAAGCCAAATGCCTTAACCACTACACCACCAGACATTAGCCATTAGAGAGATGCCCATCAAAACAGCAATGAAAAATCACCTCATTCCAGCACCAATAGCAAAGTTCAAAAAAACAGAAAACAACAAATGCTGGCAAGTGTATGGGGAGACTAGAAACCTCATACTGCTGGTGGGATTGTAAAATGGCACAAACACTACAGAAAATGGTAGAGTGCTTCCTTAAAATTTTGGAAATGTCATATGATCCAGCAATCCCACTACTAGGTACATATCTTAGAGAAATAAGAGCTGTGACACAAACAGATATTTGTACACACATTTTCATCACAGCAGTATTCACGATAGCAAAAAGGTGGAAGTAACTTAAGTGCCCATCAATGGATAAATGGATAAACCAACTTTAGTACATACACACAATGGAATACTATGCAATGTTAAAGAACAATGGTGAATCTGTGAAATATAACAAGAATGAACCTAGAGCTCATTATGCTCGGTGAAATTAGTCAATCACAAAAGAACAAATGTTGTATGAGACTATTATGGTAAACAGTTAAGAAAAAGCTTACAAACAAAAAGAAATATTATTTCATGGTTAGTTACCACTAACTGGAGGATAGACACATAATAACTTGTGTTAAAGGGAAGGAAGATATATGTTTTGTAGACTGGTTATTAAATTTTTAAAATGTGAAATTTATGTTAAAAATGAGCTATCAAAGATGATCATGACAAGGATCTTACTCAACGTTTCTGATCACCAAAATAATTTTAAAGTAACAGAGTTTGATACCAGAGATAGCACAGTGCCTAAAGCACTTGACTGCTAACCAGAAGGCTGGCATCTCAAACCCACCAGCCACTGCTCAGAAGGACCATGGGGTAATCTACTTCTGTAATGATACTGCCTCGGAAACCCAAGGAGGGGTCGCTATGAGTTGGGTTCTACTCAACGGCACATAACAACAACAGCAATACGTGAATGTAAGGGAGTAGGAAAAGTAATTGAAACTTATTCTGAAATATGTATAAGATACTACATTAGAAAGCACAAAGATATGAAAAATGTTTTTCACAAACTTGGGTACACTCTGGAACATCCAAGTAAAAGACTGATGCACACACCTTCTCTCACTCATTGGAATATAAACAGTTTTGTGCTCTACATTTGCTTTTTCCTTTGAAAAAATGCAAGTGCTCTCTAAGTAAAGGTAAAGGAAGTCAAGAGAAATTTTGTCAATAAAAAAAGTAACACTAACGAGGGAAGAGAAGGGATATAGAGGAAGTTGAGAGGAAAAAGAGAACAGAACGCAAAACAGGAGAGTGTTTGGAGTTGCCAGTGGAAGAGGTGAAAGAGTGAGGGCAGGTATTTATATTATAAATTGCTTATACTTAATTAATATCCAGACATTTCCTTTTTATAAGAATACTGTTATTGGGTATAGGGTTAGCAGACAATGTTTCTACATGTGTATTTGTATGCGTTGCAAGAATATCCAAGTGTATAGTAGAGCTAACAAGGGGAAAATTTGTGGTGGTGTTTTGGCCATAGCCAGCAACCCTGAGGGAGCAAGTAGTTGGACCTGTGGGCTCAGGACCACGGTTGCAGGGGACAGCAAGCTCAACTGGCATACCATACTACACAAAAACACTGTTGTATATCCTAGTTTGGTAAGTAGCGACTGGGATCATAAGAGCTTTCAAGTGGCCATCTAGATGCAATGATGGGCCTCTCCTCCTCTAGAGCAAAGAAGAATAAAGAAAACCAAAGATGCATAGAAACAATTAGTCCAAGGAACAAGTAGACAATGTGATCCTCAGCCTATATGACCATGAGACCAGAAGAACTAGATGATGCCCGGCTACCACTGTCAACCACTCAGAAGGGGATTGGTGCAGGAGATCCTGGATAGAGTAGGAGAACAATGTGGAACAAAATTCAAAATCTTAAAAAAAAAAAAAAAAAAAAGACCAGTTTGGTGGTCTGATAGAGCCAGGTGAGACCCCAAAGACTATGGCCCCTAACCACCCTTCAGGTCTGGAATTGAATGAACTCCTGTGGCTTCCAGCCAAAGAACAGACAGGCATATGGGGTGAACATTTAAATCAGGTAGATACACTCATTGGAGCAATTAATTGTGGGAAAACAGAAGGGCAGTGTTTAGACATAGAGACAGCTTGGCAGGCAGGAGTGCATGGGAGGGAAGGATACAGGGAAGAGTGAACTATGGGGAGGAAGTGGGAAGAGAGAGCTATTACACTGGAGAATTACAGTCAATGTCATGAGATAAAATTGAACTACTGTATGGAAAATGTATTTGTTCTGTAAACTTTCACCCAAATCTCAATAAAAATTAAATACATAAATATTGTTATTGAATGCTGTTGAGTCAATTTCTACTCATCGCAACCCATTTAACAGAGTAGAACTGCCCATAGGATTGCTAGCTTATAATCTTTATGGGAGCACATAAACAGGTCTTTCATCTGCAGAGTTACTGGGGTGATTTTGAACCACCAACCTTCCAGTAAGCAGTAGAACATTTCACTACTGCTCCACCAGTGTTCCTTTAATATATTAATTTATATTATTAATTATTTATATTAATTTATCTTAATTCAAATGAATTTTTGTCCTTTAAAATTTTATGTAGACAAAGTGCATGCATGAATATTTTACATAAAAAACCAGTGCTAGGAAAAGCATTATGTAAACAATTAATTAAAATGATACAAAAATAATTTACTTTTTTTTTCCCCAGTATGCTATGCTATAAATTGATCATTGGGAATTGTTTCAAATGTCATCAATTACTCATTAAGATACCATAGGGGCTTGAGATGACTTGAGATATTTCCTAAGGTAACAATGGGAAAAAGAAGAGATCAAAAAATAAGCAAACATAAGATTTTTTGTTTGTTTGATGTAAGGCATCCTTAAGAAGAATGTACTTCGTTAAAAATTATGTATGGCAAAGTTTCAAAAACTTTTATGGCATGTCGGGAAAAAAATACAGTGTTGAATTAGGGTACTTCACACATTATCTTCCCTCAAATTTCTCATTTGCAGTTCTAGAAGATTTTATTTAAAGCTGACAAGTTGAAATGAAGTGGGCTTATTTGTCTCCTTTTCTCACTATGTTTTGGAAGGTTTATTATATTACTGATATGAGAGTGTAGGTCTCATTGGTGCTCAAGGAGATGCATGGGTGTGCTGCAAATGGGACAGGAAGCTCTCATTGTCAAGCTAAGCCCCATTCTCTAAAGGAAGTGGAATTTAAATTTCTCCTTTTGTTAATGTAACTCTTATGTAATACTATGATTACTTATATTACATAAGAAATTTAAGATTTTAATGGGTCTAATTTACCTTTCACAATTCATTCACTGAATTTAAGAAGGATTGTAAAAACCTTGACTTTATAAACTTTCTTGCAGGTAACAGTTCATTAAAAAAAATGTGTCAGGTCCAGAGAGTGTTAATTTACTCATTTCTCAACATACTCTCTTTCAATATTTCCCATATATTAAATCTCTTAATATTTGAGGATTTAGAAAAATATGATGTTTTATTAGTAGGCTTACAAGTTAGGATAGTGAGTTTAAAATCTTTTGTTCCAAACACTCCCCCACTTCAACAGCAAAGTAAAAATCATAAGGGAGCTTGCGTGTCAACAGAAAATTCTAGTATCTCATGTAACAAAACAAGATCATTCTATTTAAACTTACTGGAGAACACCTGTCATGAAAGTCCCCAAAAAAATCATTTCATGCAGGCTAAATTAGATGCTATGTGGCCTTAAACTATTAAATAATTAATATTTTCATAAAAATGTGATTTTAAGATTATCTGTTAAGGTGGTAGGACATTCTAAGTAAGGGTAATAAATCTACAAGAAAAAAGAAATGCTAAGAAAAATGAGCCTACCTTTCCAGCATCTAATAGTTTTCATTACACTGACATAGTGGAGTTTCAAGATTCTGGCTCCCCTTTC